TCAACAGTCTGCAGAATCCCCTCACTGATTACACTGTAAATGATAATCTACCTTAACCAAAATCAAAGTAGACTATCACTCACCCACACCAGATGGAAAACTCTACAGACTGTCGGTATATATATATTTTCTTTAGATTGAATTTAAGTTTTGATTTCTTTAAATCCTAAACAAAGTCGGATTTCAAAAAAAAAACATATAGGGTTGTAGGGCTTAAAATTTCCTACAACCCCATATGTTTTTGTTTTTTTTTACCTATTATTTAATTCAGGAAAAACATGGTAAAATCGGGTCCGCGGCGCGGACCCGGTAGGCCGCGAAGGCGACCGTGAATACGTTCGCGCTCCAAGCTCGGCCCCGCGGACGCGTCCGCGGGTGTTTCATAGTCAGACGCCCTCTTGGGCACGCTCAGACGCCCTGTTGAGCCCGCTCAGACGCTCTCCCGGACACGCACTCCACCGTGCCAGGTTCTCGACCGCGCCATCGCTAGTGCTTCGCCCCACCGCACCGCCGCCCGCCATTTCCAATCGTCAGTGTGAAAACGACGGTGGGAACCGGTTCAGGGTCGAGCGCAGCGCTCCCGGTAGCGCTGCGCAACTCCTGGCCCAGTACCGGCCTGTCTGCTGTCGGCTCTTCCTTCCAAAACTTCAAAATCTGATTTCCACAGCCTTTCTTTTTTTTTCCGGGAAAGTCCTTTCTCGAGTCCACTATCCTTGCGGCAGTAAGAGAGCTGTGGGGATTGAGGACTTGGCTAGTGGGCTGCTCGCCTCTGGAATCAAGAGTCGGTACGGTGCCTGATGGTGAACACGATAGTCAAGCACGAGCTGGATAGAATGCTCAACACTGCGCATAGAAGGGATCCGACTGTATGAAAAATATGGAGGGAAGACGTCGCGGTACTCTCGAATCAGGTCGCGAACGCCGGGCTCTAAGTCTGTCGTGAACCGTGTGAGTTCCTCAATGTCTGCGTCGGCACGTGACTCGTTCTCAAAACGAAGTGTGGTTAGACCCATCACGTCCCCTTTATTGGAACCACGGGCAACACCCCTCCCGACCTACCTCCCCAGGACCCTCGTCCCTCAAGGTCCCACCCCGACATCGCCTTCACTTCCCCTCGTCAGTTTGCTCACTTCATACGACAGGAGGACGTTACGTTCTACTCCGTGAACGTCATGGATCTTCTTCTCTATGATGCACTCTATCTCGAGGTTGAGCTCATCTCTCTGGAGCCCGATCCTCCTGATACTTTCTCTATCTTCGTGCCGAGAGAATGGCGTTCCAGGTCGAGCGGGGCGACGAAAACAACCATCAAAAGAGGAGCGGCCTCAGGTGGTCCTGCGAGACTGGGAGGTGGCGGCTGGCCACGAAGAGGATGGGGGGACGGAAAAGCGACTCCGCATCCTCTGGTACTGTCTCGCAGCCTCGTAGGTCTGCTCTGCAGAAGAGAATGACCGTCTCCATAACTCAAAGCGGTAGTCAGTTGGAAGACTGACGAGAAACTCGTCGGTGAGGATGACCTCGGGTAGGAACGTCTCATCACAAACAAGGCGGGCATCTTGAAACACCCGGATGTGACGCTCGAGGTCAGCCGGTGTAGAGGACCCGGACCATCGGGTCTGTGTGACGTAGTCTCGAAAATTTTCCCTGAGGCTCGTGCCGGCACAGGCGGCACCATTTCGAACGAGGGCTTCAGCTTGCCCCCGCCGCCCACCTGCTCGAAGCCGCTGCCTCCTCCAAGTTGTCGCCCGTCCAAGCTGCTGCCACGAGTGTTCTTGGAGCTGCTGCCGCCGTTGCCAATGTTGGAGCAGCTGCTGCCATTGTGGCCTTCCTCCTGCAGACCAGGTCGCTCTCGTCTTCTACCATCAGGGAGCCGACCTTCAGCTCGGGTGTCACGAGGGGGGGAGCCAGCGAACTTTCAGGTCTCTCTCTCTCTCTCTCTCTCTCTCTCTCTGTATATATATATATATATATATATATATATATATATATATATATATATAAATGTACATATATATATATATATGTCAGACATGCGGCGCATCAGTGCGGTGTGCGATGCAATGCGCCGGTGTTGTGCGTGCACCCGTGCGCGATGCGCGCGCACTGATGCGCAGTGCGCTCCGCGGCAGTCCGGTGCGCAGTGCGCCGGTGCGCTGGGGCGTGTGCGTGACGAGCGCACTTTCGCGCATGGTGCGCCGTGATATACATGGATTTTATTTTTTTTTCCTACGTGATACACCGAGTTGATGAGTTAATAATACTTAATATAAGTTATATTGTTTATATAACATTATACTATGATTATAGTATGATTATACTATGATTACAGTATTACGGGGAACCCCGTAGCAGCCACATCCGGCTCAAGCCTCCAACGAGGGAACATGCGGGAGCTGCACCCGCCAGCAGGTGCTTAAAGAATCAGCCTTTCTTTTTTTATTTTTAAAAAAAGCAGGAAAGTTAAATAACATGCATTGATGTCTCTGATTTCACTCTTCTTGCGGGAGTCAGGCTCGGTGTCAGCATGCAGAACTCACCTCTAAGTCGTGTTGCACGTGCAATAGCGGCAGTGACATGTCCACCGTTTCCACACACAACCATCACCAAAGTCAAAAACAGCAGACACGACAATCAGATCACAGCAAAGGAGAGCATGTCCACAATTTTCACACACAAAGCCATCACCAAAGGCAAAAACAGGAGATACAATCATACAACAGTTTCCAAAGAGTACAAAAGTTATGAGTCATGAACCGAATTTCAAAGAACACACAAACTGAAAATCTTCAAAAAAAGTAAGAACGACTCAAAATTCCGAAAACCTTCATCAGAATTTAGAAACTGCGCCGAACACGGGGGACACTTGGGATTGTTAAAAGTCTGGCCTTTGAAAAACATGCAACAACGTGAAAACTACTTTGACTGTACTAACTGTCGCCGCTACTCTGCCTCCTCCCCCGACTCATGCTCCCCGCCAGACTCCTCCAGCGACTGCTCGTCCTTGGGATCCTCCTCCGATGATGACGCGGATAATGACGATTTGCCGCTTTCATCGGACGACGATGACGCCGATCCAGAAGACTGCACTGCGGCCTGGGCACGCAGATTGTCATCGTCGTCCTCCATGACCCGGGCCTCGCGCTTCCTCTTCGGCCTTGCCTCTGCAACACTGGATGCTTTTGCAGCCTTGGCGGCAACCGCTTCGTCTTCTGCGGCCTTCTTCGCAGCCTCGGTTGCAGCCTTTGCAGCCTTATTTGCCGGTGAAAGAGGAGGCCGCCCCCTCTTCCTTTTCGGCGGTGCGACTCCATCACCTCCCTCCTTACTCTTTCCCTTGCGCGTTGGCCGTTCTTCATCGGGCTCGGGTGTTGCTGCCTTTCGTTTCCGTTGCCGACGCCCTGATGCCTCCTCCCTCCCGTGCACCCAATCACCCGCTTGTCGTGCGCTCATGGCACGGTCACGGCCCTCCACGTGTAAAGGAATGAAGGTTCGGGCTTTGGAGGCCCGACTTCCTGCGCAGCTCACGCACTCTATGCTTCCCTGGCTTCATGTTAGCATGCCAAGTGCGTTCCACTGAGCCGAGCAGGGCAACGTCGTCCTCCTCGTCCGCGAGGTCGTCCTCCTCATCATTCTTTTGCCACGTGCGCACCAAAGGGCCATCTTCATCATCATCATCTGCAACCTCCGCCGCGGCTGCATCAGCGGCTCTCCCCTCAATGACGTGCGTGGTCCAGTCTTCGTACCACTCGTCAACCTCCGTCTTTGCAAGCTCGTTGTCCTTCCAAGGAATGTGGTTGTCCTCCGTCTCTCCGCGCTCCCTCCGAGTGGTCAATTGGATGTTCCAATTGCTGTAAACCAGCTTCGCCAGACTCTCGGGCAGGAGTTTGGTGCGCCGCTGTCCGTAGATGAGCTGGTGCAAGCTCCAATTGTGCTCGCACGTAGCCGAAGAGCTCACCTCGCCGAGAAGCTTGATGGCCTGCGGTTGGAGGAGGTCCAATGATCCCCCGAACGCCTCCCACCAGAGTGCTGGTGTTTGCACTTTGGCCTGCTCCTTCGCGTTCAGTGTCCCGAGTGTGCCTGCCCCGCAGACCCATTGCTGATTTCCCTCAGCAACTTCGTTGGCGCCCACGAATAGAGTCAAATGTTGAACCCCTCGCGGATCTCCGTGTCCCACAATGTCTGTGGCAGGTACTCGGGATCGAGAAACGCTGCAACGCAATGCAACTCGAACGTCATGAATGCCCACCGGTCCATGAGAATGTTCTCCACCGCTGCCTTTTCGTCCTGCGTTAGACAGTCAAGGACCCGCATTCGCGCCACGATCTCGTCCATGTCGAAGTACACTTTGCCCACAGTCGCTCCGGGACCGTCCACCAAACGCAGCAGCTTGACCACGGGCTCCATGACGGCAATTGCTCTGTCAACCTCGTCCGAAAACCCTTCGCTGTCCACAATGATGCATGTGACAGCGTTGAATGCAGCCACCTGATCAGGCCTCACCAACTTGTCAACCCACGCCACGTTCCCGACGCACAGCTGAAGTGAGGTCCTCCCTCTCTTCAGCGACTTCAGCATTTCAAAGTTCGTTGCGAACCTCGTGACGGCTGGGCGTTCGCGATTCTGTTGAACATCGCGCAAACCTTGTCGATGTTCGTCACAAACTTGCCCACTTGGTTCCCCTTGTCGACGACTTCCTTCATCCAATCCAACCGCGTGTACATGTCTTCTAATGCCAAGTCCAACGCATGGGTCGTGCAGCCCACACTGAAGATCCCAGGGTACTTCGCCTCCACCATCTTCCCGGCCTTCGCACAGACCCTCGCATTATCCATCATGACGCCAACGACGGACCGCGGACCGACCTCCTCGATGACTCCTTCCAGCAGCTTGAAGTAAGCCGCTGAGTCCTTGTCCTTGCCTTCCATGCAAACGGACTTCCAAAACACTGTGCCAATCGGGGAGGAAACCATCACGTTGAGATGTGGTTTGTTCCTCCTGTCCGACCACCCATCCATTTGCAGCATGCACCTCCTCACAAGACTCTTCATCTCATCCCCAACAATTTTGTGTTGCCCGTCCAACCGCTTCGTCCTCATCTCGTCCCTCTTGCACGGCCACCAACTAGGATGACTCTTCTTAACTGCGTCGATGAGTTGAAGGAAGTAGTGGTTCTCAATCAAGTTGAACGGTTGATTCGTGCAGATCACGAAACGGTCCAGGTGTCTTCTGGTCTGCTCATTCCGGGTGATGATGCTGTTCGCCTCCTCGATCAGCGTTTGCCTCGTCGGCCGTCCGAGCGACGGTGCAGCGTTCCCGGATGTCGCCGGTGTTGTTGTCTCCCCAATTGCTGGAATAGGGGGCCTGCTCGCCGTCAGGGATGGGGCGACCAAGCTGCTCCGAGAGGGAGCACTGCTCGGACCAGCACCCGCACTTCCCCTCCCTCCGACAAGGGATTCCGCCTGCATCGTCCCCATTCGAATACCCTCCATCCTCCTCACCCTCTCCTCCTCGTCCAACTGGCGGGTCATATGATCTAAACCACACTTGCCCTTTAAGAAGTGGTCCCGGAGGTTGGTGGCCGACCCAACGAACCGGGTCTTGCGGTAATTGCAGACATAGTGCTTACGCCCCTTGCTCTTGTGTTTCCCAGCCGGCCCATTGTCAATGAAGTGCCTCTTGAGTTGCTCGATCAATGCCTTCTGAAGAGACATTTTCCCCTGCGCACATGAAGTCCATCAACAGCCCTGGCATCAGCACCTTGCATCACTCTTACAACACCCCTCAATTCAACCTCTCCAACAACCCCCCCCCCCCCCCCCCCCCCCCCCCCCCCCCCCCCCCCCCAACCACCCGAATAAGAAGCTTTCAGGTAAAACGAAAAACAAAAAAACAAAACAAAAAAGAAAAAAAGCAAGCATGTGAAATTCAAAAACAAAACAAAATAAATTAAAAAACATTTGAAACACCCATGTTCAACAGCGCCCAATCCCTGTGTATCCATTCAACTCGCAACGGGTTTTGTACAACTCCGTTGTACCCGTTGTACACCCCCGGGGTCCAAGTTGAATCCCCGTTGAATGGTACAACGGGGGCTTCCCGTTGAAATCCGATCAACGGGTCGAGCCCAATGGGCCTCGGACACGTGGCAGGATACGCGTGGAAAAAAAAAAAGTGAAAAAAAAGTAAAAAAACTGCCCTCTGTGTGTGTGTGTG